TAATGGCAGTGACAAGACAGTTTAAGATCGGAAACGTCAACGAAAAAGGAAATCCATCAATAGTAGTATTTTTATCAATAATTCATCAATATAGTACTTTTGCTTACAATATCAAAATTATGACAAAATTCTATTAAATATATTTATTAAAATAATTATAAAAATATATTTATTAAAAAATAATCATAAAAATACATTTATTAAAATAATCATAAAAAATAAACATATCTTTTGATATTATGCATATGAAATATTGCGAATATTATCATGATATCTTATCTATCATTTTATTTATACAAATTTATTGATTAATCGATTTAAATGAGGCAGGATTTCATTATTTTCATGTCGGTCTTTACAACAATTTCGTAAACGCAAGCATGAATTCTACATGGTTAATCTATTTTTATCCCATATCATCAACGTTTCGTCGACAGTTATTCAAGATATCCTCTGTCTCGCAATTACACGATATTTCGTGACAATATTTGCAGTGTAAAAAAAAAGTCCATCGAGTCTAGTAACATACGTCAAGCACGGAAGAACGAACATCTCGATATAATACGTGCGTTCGTGCGTATCTAACGAAATTCATCGACGCGCACGCGGTTGGTTTCCGGTCTGTCTTGCCGGTTCCGGGCTTCCGGGGACTGCGACCCCCTCGAGGAAGGCCGGCCGCAAGACCCGAGCCGAGGGTCCGGGGATAGGGAGCGAAGGAACGGAAGGTGTCGATCGATGAGTCGTACGAGGACGGGTTGGTTTCCGCACGGCTTGACCGTCGCGTGTTATCGATTCTACCGAGCACACACAGTCTCTGGCATTCGGTACTCGCTTCACCGTCGACGTGAATGAAAGACACGGCATGCGACAATCAGCCGGTGCGATTTAACAACTCGATGTCGAACGGCACGACGTACGTTCTCGTGGGGACTCATGCTCGACACGAATTATTGAGCGAGAAACAAGGATGTAGGAGGAAGGAAATAAGATTTTGATTCATTAGCACGAGATAATTCTAGTAATCCAAGTTAATCGTCACAATATTTATGTTTCAAATTATAGCACCTTTCCCTAACATTCTTTTAAATATGCAAATATTATTAAATTCATGTATTATATAAGTAAAAATTATACACGGTGTTTCTTAATAAGTGCGAAAAATTTTAGGAGATGATTTTTTGTCGAAAATTAAGGGGGGTGTTTCATATAAACATTAAAAAGTTCTAACAAAAAATCAAATAAGGGTTGCTACTTTCTCCTCCTTATAACAATACGGGAGGCTGAAAAAAATATTAATAAATAGTCTTTTTACTAGTAGAAAATGTTCAGCTACTTTCTTTAATTTGTTTTAAATTTGAGAAAAAAATAAAAACCTAATTTTTATCCCCATTTTTGGAAGAGTATAACTTCACAGGGAGGGATGTAAAAGTATATGTTTATATGAAACCCTCCCTCCCCTTAATTTTCGACAAAGAATCATCTCCTAAAATTTTTCCCACTTATTACGAAACATCTTGTATAAGACACACATATATACATATATATGTTATATGTAATTTAATTTTTATATTCGTGCAGAATAATTTGATTGATAAAATAGAGATGTAAGAAATTGATGCGTTTTTAAATATCGATACCTGCGATAAGAACGCGTGATGTGCAAGGTCGTTATGATTAAAGTGCATCGGAGAATCGGAAGCGATTATGCCGTTCGACTTATCGATATAACCGTAGCCAATGGTTATGAATGTTAGAATCGTGATGGTAACGATCGTCAGGACAGACGCCACGTGTCACGAGTGTGCTCTCTCTTCTTCTCTTTCTCTTTCTCTCTCTGTTTTTCTCTCCCTTTCTCTCTCGCTGTATCTCTCGCTCAAGTATTTGACGATATAATGCCACGTACGGTTCGATACCGGGCGTCGCGACGCCCGGCAGTCTGCCACTGTTCCGTTCTATCCCATTTCATCACGTCATCTCGTCTTAGAACACTTACACATGTTCCCTCGTCACCGACAATACAAACTCTCTTGCGTAACTGCGTACAGCATAGGCGCTATTCATCAAAAACCAATTCCGGTTCATTAACTGGCTAGATAACAGATTTATCGATGTTACGTAATTATTAAGATAATGTTACGGAAAAAGGACGGAGTAATATTTTTATAAGAATCAATGCGATTAAAAAAATATAATTAAAATAATTAAAAATATAATTAAAATATAATAATGTAATAAGACATTTTATTTTTTATTATACTAAATTATTCTCTATTTACAGTTTCACAAAATTTAAATGTACGCACGGATACATAAAAAATTTATTTCAAAATCGAAAGGCAAAAATTCGTGATATAATGTAACCTTTAATTCTGTTCAACCGCTATCGCTATGTTAGATTGCAAAATTAGATTCAAAATGCAACGAAGACCGACGCCTATGAATAGAAGTCCGACATACATTAGCAGACAAGTTTGGACGACGAAACCGAGTCGGTGACAATGTTAATTTGCCAGGTGATTTGGCCCGATTATTGTCGCCAAAGTCTTGGGAGCTGAGGTAACGGATATCTTTCTCATGTTGCAAAAACAGGTGGATGAAAGGAAGAAGGAAGTTCCTAAGGTTTCCCTTTACGCGTACATCGCGTAATTAGAGGAAACACCGCACCATTGAAGCATTCATGTAAACTCACTCGAAACTAATTAGCGTTGAAATTTCGCGTAATCGCCAATAATTGCAATAATCGATTGCGCATTGAGGTAAAACCCATTGATATGTAATATACAATATAATCCATTCGCTTTGCGATAATTGAATATAATACTTATACGTGATAAAAAATATAGTTATGTAATATATTCTCATTTCTACCTCGTTATCGAAAGATTTATAAAGTATACGTTCAAATTAATTAAATTATAATTTTGCGTAATGAAAAAATATTTATTTAAATAAATCTAATCCTTATATTTTTTTAGTTTAAGTTTAGGTTAAGTTTTTTAGTTTTCTCTTTTTTCTAAAAAGATTTACTCTATGTTTAATCAAAAAAAGAGAACACGTTTACATAAAGGATCATGTGATAAATTATTTTCAAAAATAAAAATTTTAATTTTTTTTTGTTTTCTGTGACTAGAAACTAGAAACATTAGCTTGATGTATAATGTGTTCACACCTCGCAATATATGAATCTCTTTGATACTCAAAGAGATACATATGAATCTCTTTGATACTCAAAGAGATACATATGTGTATAAATAAATTTTAAAGATATGAAACAATCGTAAATCTGCTTGTTTTCTTAATGTAAGATAAAAATGTCATTTCATATTTCAGTGATTATATCTAAACGAATCACATTTTTGAATGCCTTTCTGTTGGCGAGAAATTTGCCAGCACACTGTTTACATGTTGATTTATTCAATAATTACACGATTCTGTTTTCTCATTTTCCGATATTATCACAATGAATTCAATCGATTGGAAGTCCTTGTTGCCGATTTGTGACATCGTTTATTAATCCATTTCTATTATTCAAAAGAGATAAGAGTTCTTAATCTTTAAATCATTAGAAAGATTTATAATCGGATTGCATTCAATATTAAAGAGACTAGAATATTTACATCTTCACAATCATTAATGTTTAATCGATTTTGTACTATCAAGACTCAGAATTTATCTAATCTAATTTAAACACATCATTATTTTGGTTAAGTTCAAGTAAATAAATTTAAAAAATTGAAATATTTAAACTAAAATTCTTCCGAATTATAGAAATAATAACTTATAACATTAAAATTTCATTCATAAGCATTTTTTAAAAGTTTTTAGAAATACAAGTCGCAAATGATAGAATGGAAAAGATTTACATTTTTTAATTTCAATATTAAATTTTAAAAAATTTTGTTAATTTCGAGATTCGTTTCCATCGATAAATATAACAGATTAATTATAAATATTTTCGACTATCGTATTAGTTATCGTTCGACTATCCTATTAATCATTGATCCGACAGTCTAATCAGCGTTGTCAGAAGAAAAGATCAGAGTTTTCGATGTCTCACGTAACTAAATGTCAAGTTGTCGCTCATCACAAAAGTAGCCCTCAGTTGAGCAGGGAGTTTTCCGCCGAGAGCGGACAGATGGACGAGCTTTTTTTTCGTGGGACTTCAATCATTATCAACGTGAAACCGGCGCGACAGAAGCGAAATGGATTTCACGTATATATATATATATATATATATATATATATATATATATATATATATATAGAGGGTAGAGATACGATAGATAAAGCAAGCTGTTTACGAGGCAAGCGATTTCACGGAAAGAGTTGAAAGCTTCATAGAACGGGGAAAAAACCGATCAATACCATCGATTCGGGAAGTCTTTGCCAACTATGATCGTTTCTTTTTGTTTCTTTCCCTTTTCGGTTTTTTTTTTCTTCAATTAGATTGATACAATGAAATTTTCAAGTCTTTAAAATTTCTTCGAGGATTATTCGTGTAATATCCTACTAAAAGATTTCTTCATCAATGGACATAATCGGAGATAAAATCGAATAGTTGAAAAGAAGAAAAATATGGAATGTGTGATAATTATTCGATCAATAAATTCAAAGTTCTGTTTGCGTATGCGAAAGTTTTGAATTGAATAATAAAGTGTAGAATCGTATTTAATCGACTTAATATGAAAGTTTCGAAACGCGCGTGATGAGGTTGTCGTTTTTGATATAATTGCATTATCGAAATTTTTTTTTAGCATATGATACATATAAAGAAATATTTTATAAGACATCAATTAGTTCTGTGACTTTTCTGTTGTGACTTTTCCACTTAAATTTTTTTAAGTTTTGTGCTAATTTGTAATATCTTTGTTTCGGCTACAATAATCCGTGTTTTGTAATATTTAATATTCTAAAATTTAAAAATTCCATGTTTTAACGTTACATAACGTGTAAATCAAATATAATGTCTTTTGGATTAACATCGTAATTGATTATTTCAGTGTCTGGAACGACGAATAAGAAAGAGGAAGAGACGGTGGTATCTTCGGCCACGGAAGAGACCGTGGTCCTGGGCACGAGAACCAGAACGGGAAGCGATCCTGGAGGAGGTATAGATCTATTGGCAGCGCTGCAGCTGCACAATACTACTCGGCAGGGCGTTACACAGGTGCCGGGTCTGGTTAGGCTGAGACCAGCTTATTATCTTCAGGGTGAGTCAATTTTGTTCAGTTTTATTCAATTTTCGATCTCTTATTCTTTATCGAAATCTTTATAATTATCGTTCAGATAGTAATAAAAAAATTCGTAGTCATTATAAAATGGCGCTATTAATTTTTAACTAATTATTCTGCAGAAAAAACCAACCAATAATTAGATTTTTCTTTTACAAACTCTCTCATTCAAATCTCTAGAAATTATTTAGTATGTAATTACTTAATTACAGATTTTTAGAAAAGATAATTTATACAGAAATTTATAATAGAATAGGTAATTTATTACAGAACTTTTAAATTATAGTCTTTTTAATATTTAAACAACATAACGATAGAAAATTGATTAAACGCATTTGCAATTGCATTTATCATATTATATATAGACATAACAGGAAATAAAGCCTTTTACATGATTCACATTCCTTCTGAACTGCGATATATGTTACGCGATAAATCGTATAGCTCGCACACGAAGCTGCCACTTCGGTAATGTTCTCTTAACCCAAATACTCCCTTAATTTGCATATCGCCAGGTCGTTCTTTATGCGAACGATCCTTCTTTCGCTCTTCCTACAATACACGTTGCAATTATTATGTCTTGTAAGAACGATGATTACGTTCTATATAACTCACAAAATTTATCCCCGCATCATGAAATCCGCTCTTTAAGAATTAAGTTGGGCATGACGATAATACATGATAATAAAATGATAATGAAATAAATCTCTGGAAATTATTTTGAAATAAAAATTGTTATCAAAGAAATTTCATTTCAATTGATATTATAATATGTAATGTGTATTATGTGCTTTGTATTACGATGCGTTATGAATATTGTAACAGATTATATGTACTTCACGATTACAATTCGCAATATATATATCGACGTAATTAATTCATTATTAACATATTCGACGTAAATAATTTTGCTTTAAAATTATTTCTTTTTAAAAAAAGTATTGCAATAACTTTTTAAAATACATTGCAATAACTTTTATTGAATGCATGTGTGCCTCTCATTATACGATGCCGTTATGCAACATGCGATTAATCGATATTACGAAAGGTCAGTTTAATAGCATCACCTACACGTCGTCTCTCTGCTCACAGAGGATATTCCCCTATAATGAATATCGATTATTCCCTTGAATTTTGGAAAGTTGTTAGTTTCACAATATTTTCAACACAGTTTAATATTCTTAATTTAAACATAGTATGGATAAAATATAGCGTAAATATAATACTCATCGACTCCTCCTAAATTCTACACTTCACTTTTGCACGCGACACAGGATATTTTCTGAAATTGATCGCGTTTGAAAGAGTTAAACGATGTTCTTGTTGAATAAGCGACCCTTCATATCGGCGAGTTCAGCGTCTATTCAACCCCGTGTAACATGGTGTATCCAATTATACCGGAGCACCCCCGCATTTCCCTCGACGGCGGGTGGTGTACAAGCCACGTGGGTGTGTGGGCGGCAGTGCAACGGCCGCGGATAGCGGGCCTGGACGGACGAGGGTTGAAGTTGGGCCGCCGTGTATATGGGGATGATGGGATTTCCTCGAAAGAAATTTCAATTACACCCTAACGCCCTTTCTCGCGGGTTGCACCCTCGAGAATGCTTTCGGGGAAGTTTAGGCGACGGCTCCTCGTGATTCGCAACGTCGGAAATGGGGGGGGTCCCTTTTTGCTCCTCTTATCCTTTGCGAGTCCTTGACGCTCCGTTCTTCTACCGCCTCCCTCTCGTGCACGCATACTCCCCTCTATTAGAGAGAGGCATCACATGTACATATAATCGTAGTAAAGTTTTTCTTCTCTGTACTTACTGCAAATATTTGCTTTAATTCCCCTCAACTGACTCGGAAGATGACGAATATTTATTGTTTGAGTATAGTGCTTCAATTCTTCAATTAATGAACGCATTGATAATGATATCTTAATAAGCTGTCGAGATTAAAAACAAAGCAAAAATTTGATTCATTTCGTTTATACTTTATATCAAACTTGATAATTGTATTTATAATATATATAAAATAATTAAAAATTTAAGCATAATTTAACATTATGATAATTTTAGATAATTTAATTAAAATTTTTAATCTATTATAAATCATATTAAATTTTTTTAGGTAAAGTAAAAATGTATTAAATTAATATTTGTTCTTAAATTAAACTTGCTAAATTTGAGTGCTAAAAATAAACCGATGGCAACGGAAATTCACCGTAATTTATTCCCTCTGATCTTCTTATCTTCCATCGTCGCCCGCTCTTCTGTTTAAGCCGCTCGCCCCATCATTCCGGATACGCAGGGAACAGGAATTTCTTTGGGATTAGATTTATCTCATATGAACTGTTGTATCTTAACAGGAACATTCGCTGCAGGACAAAGAAGAGAATGATATACAGTGACACGTGTCAGAGTTTTCTCTGAACGTAGAAAATAGGATCTAGCGACCCCCTTTGTGTTAAATAAGGGGTCACAGACCATGATCTCAGCAATTCGATTGAAACTGTTACAAAATTTTGGTACAAATGTTCATATTTTTATTACATCCTAAACCAGGTATTTTTCAAAGATATTTTTTATATTTAAAGCATTTAAAATAGTATTTTTTATATCAAAGTAATAAATGTGAACAATAAATTTCATTTATTTAAATCTCGCGATAATTCAACTTGGATGTTTCAGACGTAGATGTTTTGATTGAATCGTATTATAAATGTTTTACGACGATATGGTAAATTGATCAGATCGATACAACGCGAGCTTTACCTTGTGTTACGTTTAGGTAATAGCTATTATCGATTGTATGTAATTTTTATAGATTACTTCGACTTGTGACAAAATAATATCGTTATATTGCCAATAATCATATAAGAATTTTATCATGATTAATATTAAAAATTAAAAATCTATCAATAATGACATTCTTAATGCTAGAGAAAAACATAATCATTACTGTATCAATTCAAAGAAAAATGGTTGAACGTTGTTATAAACTCTCCTTGTTTCCGCAACATACTAATACACGAAGGGTAAATAATCTTAACCCCCAAGCTTAACTACCCCACGACAAACGATCGTTTTTCCGCTATTCAAAACTGCACATCCGGTCTTCTCGTATAGCGAAAATAAAAATTTCACGGTCAAATTATGCTTTCTGCCCGTATCAGCTCAAGTGCAAGGGTTGGCTCGTGCGTGCCAATTCGCGCGGAACGATTTCTTTGGAGACGAGCGAGCAGCGCACAGTAGGGATGTTTTCTCGCTAATCGGGGCCGACCTTTCTTCTCACTACCACCATCTAGACCGATGGTATTACGTTATAATTAAGCGTGCGCGTACGTAATTGCTCGACGACGTCGCCGACCCTCTTCGTCGTCGTAGGTGGCAAGACGACATCGACGCTTTATTGTCGGCCGAGTGTCTGGTTACTCTATGAGTACTGGCGGTGCATCTGAAATTTGAGGCACACTTTATACGCCGCGAGAAGCCAGCCTGTGGCAGAGCATGCTGCATTTTGCACGCAGTCGTAATAAGGTGTCCCTTATTTGGATAACTTTTTGAGAAAAGAAACTGAACTATGTTTAACGTGTTAAGGGAGGAATCTACTTTAGAAGCCCGAAAAAAGGATGATTTTTAAGAAATTTTTTTCTAAAGGAAAAATAAGAGTTACGTTTTTGAAACTTTACGTTTTGTATAATATTTGAACATTATATACAAATTTTTTTCAATAAAAAGAAGTTAAGTTATCGTTAAATAATTTAATGTTGTACAGCATAGCGTCTTCAATTCTTGTCTAAAATAAAAAAAACCAAGTATATTTTTAATTTTTATACAATTTTATCCTAAATGAACCAAAAAAATTTTAAATAAGTATAAAAATTACACAGAATTTAATTTTTATACTTATTTAAAACTTTTTTTGATTCATTTAGGATAAAATTGTATAAAAATTAAAAATATATTTGGTTTTTTGTTTTAGACAAGAATTGAAGACGCTATGCTGTACACAGTGGCGCAAACTCCGATGACGAAGCACGAAAATTAACATTAAATTTAACGAAAACTTAACTTTTTTTATTGAAAAAATTTGTATATAATGTTCAAATATTGTACAAAACGTACTAAAAATTTCAAAAACGTAACTCTTATATTTCCTTTAGAAAAAAATTTCTTAAAAATCATCCTTTTTTCGGGCTTCTAAAGTAGGTTCCCCCTTAAGGCTCAGAAAAATAAACCACTAAACTTTGTTTAGGAAATAAATATAACATTTATATCAAATCCAACATTTATTTTAGATAATATGTTTTTTCTGATAAAAATAATTTGCGAAATATATTAATGTAAGTCTTCCTCTATTCAATATAAAACAATTATAAGTTTTAATCTAATGATCAATAGATTGAATATTATAGAACAATGTTTAAAAAAATAAACATGAGAAATTAATATTTCTAATTCTGGAAGATAAATAATTTCTCATTATATATCTATGATTACGCACAGCTGTAGGATTTCTCGTTTGCACACACGTGACACATTACGCGAATCGCTTAATGATATTGAAGCCACGTTAGACGGACAGTAGGATTGTCGATTGCAATGGCTTAGTTGTGGGGTAATTTGCCAAATGGCCGTGTTAATCTATCTAATGGATAGATCTACTCGTACGAGCAGCAACCATTCTGATGCGACATGTTAATTGAATATGCACAAACTATGATCGATTTACATATTGCAAATTTCGATAAAGGAGAAGCAAAGAAAAGAATAATTTGTCCGTGAAATAGAACATATAGGCAATTTTTAATATAATAATAATAGAAACAATATCTAATGGACTAACTTCTACTCATTTTTATTATGCGTTTAAATAAATGTGTTATTTTTTGAAATTTTATAGATTTACCACGTAAGTCATTCTGTAGTGTATCTTAAAATGTTGAGGCAATTGTTTATTTGTGATTCAACCAACTAAATATTTTATGAATTTACAGTACTCTTTCATGCGTAATTATAATTAAATTCATGTGATTTTGATTTTTTCAATATTAAAACGTCATAACACAAGCTTTTTCAGTAAATTTAATATTATGTATAAAATCACATATCAAAGGCAGAGAGAGAATAGGGTTTTAAAAAGATAATTATTTGTAGAATAAATTAGTTTATGATAGAGAGGGACTACGATTCTGTTATTAGATTATCCATTTCATTACAAATTTTATTATCCAGATTATTCATTTATTATTCTTTTGTATTTTTGCAAGCTGAATCTGAAAGCTGCGAAAAAATTTTCAACTTTTTAATTTATCTTGCGCTTTTGTAATTTCGCATCACGATATGATTATGTAACGGATGCACCAAATACTCTCCAAAAATTCGGATGGCCTACATCGCCGAGCTTTAATTTGCTCCAAGTCGATAGTCGAGTTCTCGCATATTAATGCACTTAACAGACGATTCGACTGTTCGAAGCATGACATTGAAAGTGTTTGTTATCTCAAGACAATACGTGGGTGGAATATTTTTGTTAGTTGTTTGCTTGTTGGCATTAAAGAAAATGTAGCGCGAAATAAAAGAAAATTATAATTCTCTTAATAATTCTCTCGTTTCTGCGAGAAGAAAAACATATATAAATGTTAACTTATTTTTGTACACAATTGGAACATCTATATTTCTCGAAAAAACAATTCAATCAATATATATACATTATCTGATAAATTACATTCGATATATATGATTACTTTGTAAGACAGTTAAATAAAAGTAAGTTAATGAATGAATTTTATCAATCTTTTTCAAAAGAGGATACATATTTAAAGATATTTAACGATATTACATTTTTAATTCTTACAATAGCATTTTAAGTTTCCTACATACTACATGAATAACGCACATTTTCTCTTTTATTATATTTCAATATTATTCTTTTACTTATGTACAATCGTGACATATTCACAGCCATAATATTGCGACAAATAATAAATAACAGTTGTACTCTAAATTCGGACCATTTCTTGAAAAGCGGCTTTACTTTACCAGGAAACGACCGAATTAAAAATTCAAATCAACTCTACATCGATTTCGAGACACGGCATGCGACAAGCATTCTCCCCTCTACTACCTATAAATTATTAGATTGTATTCAATATTCTAAATTGCTTGATTATCTAATAATATAAAAAAAGAAAAATTTTTTCTGTACTTTCTATATTTTTCTATATTTTTTCTTTCTGTTTTATTTTAATCTATCTTTATTATATATTTATTCTCTCTTTCTCTTTAATGTATCTATCTAATACAAATCATTTGAATTTAATTGCCTCAAGAAAGTATATTGGACACATATTCTGCACATGGAAAAAATTGTGCTGTGTGAAAAATACAAGAGCTACGATACGCGTTCTATCTCGTCGCGCCAATCATTGTGTTTTACTACTTTCAGGAGACGAGAGGGAGCTCCGATTGAATGAGGCAAACTACGAACGAGCGGCCGCGTTACTCCGGCGGGTTCCGGAATTCACTATAGTCGCCGCGCTGCGTCAAGATGAGGCCAATTCCGGGACGATCGTCGCCTTTTCGCACGGGAACAATAGGTATGAAATACTGAAAAGTTTCTTCTCATCGTTCCCGCGTTACTTTTCCGAGCTGCTCGAGAATTTCGGACTCGGTGGCCGTAACAAACACCGAGCTGTGACCTATTTCGAGTGCGATACAAAATGATACAGATATAAGTCCCGCTAAGGAGGAAATATACTTTAAATATATTTTATTTTATATTTAAATTATATATTTAAATTATAATAAATTGTATAGAATGTATAACAAGACACGAGATAACTGAATACTTTTTTATAAGCTATTAAAATCCGCGAATAAAATTGTTTCGATAGAATCATTTCCGAATAATTATATAATATTTTGCTTTTGATTATTTTATGATGTCATTCTGCTCCCTAATGTGCACGGCGCAATAATTTCACTGTCGCATGATGAGCTTTGAGCTTCATAATTTGAATAACGATCTCGGCGTTATTCGGTTTACGCAACTAGGACAACAAATTATTATCTACTCCGACATAAAGCATTTGTCTGTCAAGTAATATGAGTTGTTATAACGAGATTATTAAGCAACAATTGTACGTAATATGTTATTACATGCGTTTCATTTCCCATCTTTTCTCTAGAAATTCTCTCTGAACATTACAGCTTTATTACGTTAACTATAAAAGAAGTTAGTGTGTCAATAAAAATTGTTGAGCGAGAACGAAAGAGTACTTAACGGCATCCTGCGTTGATACTTTGAAAGTGCAATCTAGCTGTTTTGATTTAGACGACACAAATTGAATACACTTGTCTTTGCGTGCATTATATGATGGTTAACATTCCACACAATTACAATTAATTTAAATGATCCAATAAACTTCTCAAAGGCCAATAAGCTTCTTAGAATTTATCGGCCATTTAGCGGCAACAAAGTAATTCAATTATTTTACGATAGATGCAAGGTCAAGCTTTAATTTTTTCATCAAAATAATCACAGATTAAATCATCCTTGATTTATCATAGAGTTTCAAAATCATTTTCGCGATATTAAACAATACAGTAATAAATAGATATAGAAATATAATTTCTAAAATGATATTTGTAATAGTTGGTCCAGCGTTAAAATATTTAATATAGTAAATATTACATATATACACATTATATAAAAATTCCAAGCTAAAATATCAATTTCAGATTTAATCTCGAATAAATCATTAATGAATAATTTCGAATAAAATGTACATCAGGTATTTGGAGCTGCAGAGCAGCGGTCGCAAGGACGAGCTTCGACTTCATTACGTATCACGCCGCGACGGAACCGTACACGTTGAGGCGTTTCCTTTTCGACTGGCCGATGGCGTCTGGCACAGGGTCGCCCTGAGCATAAGTGGCTCGCAGGTCGAGCTGCTGGTCGACTGTCACCCCTTGTACAGGCGACTGCTGAAACCTGGTCCACCCGACACGAATTTTACCCTGCCGCAACTCCAGCTTTGGGTCGGACAGAGAAATGTCAGGCACTTTCTCTTCAAGGTGAAGAAGCATTTCATTACAGTATATCTCTCTCTCCTTTTTAATTATTTTATATAATAAATATAGTTGCCACATTTTCAAAAATTATATTATTTATATAACAATTTATATAATTAGTCTTAAAAAAATTACAAATAAATCATCATATATCACAAATCACAATATAATTTTTTTAAATTTAAAGTCATTTTTATTATTTATTAAAATTTCTTATTTATTGTTATGTTAATTTTTAAATGTAAACAGAAAGTAATATTCTTACTTTATTTACCATTATGAAGGTATCATTAGTTTTTCTTTAATTTAATAGAAACATATATCTCTGTTATATTCCCGAAGATTTGATGCTCGACTAAACTTTCTGTATAATTTCCGCGCTACAGGGTGCCTTACAGGACGTCAAGCTAATAGCAGGACCTCACGGTTACCTTTCCCAGTGTCCTCAGCTCGACTCATCTTGCCCCACATGCGGTCAATTTTCAATATTACAGAATACCGTGGAACAACTAATGCATAATCTCAAGGAGTTGACTCATAGAGTGAGTAATTTATATACCGTTTATATCAAACTTATGTTGAAGCAATAATTCGAGATTCAATTCAATATAAACTGTATATTATGCAAATTATATACATGTATGTGTGTGTGCCATAATCTTATTACATAATTAATTATATTTTTAGAAATCTTATTTTTCTGAGATTTTTCTCTTCAATACACACACATATACAATCTTGCTGTTCCTTTAATGCTATAAATAAGACATAAATAAGACAATTTGGTTGTTCATGGACATCCTTCCTTTCAGTTAGCCGCTGCAGAGGACAGGATAAGCGAAGTGGAGGAATGCGAGTGCCAAAAGTCCTGTAGGGCGAACGGTACCGTCCACGAGGACGGCGCGACCTGGAAAGAGGATTGCCAGCATTGTTCCTGCGTCCACGGCAATATCGAATGCAGGGAAATATCCTGCGCCCCGGCTATCTGCAAGCATCCTGTCATTCCCGAAGGACAGTGTTGCCCGATTTGTCTCAGTAAGTAAAAACCGATAAAAAAAACTATGTTTCTCTTTTTTTTATACCCACTTATATCTAGCGTCTTGCCTGAATTTTATGATTGTATTTTATGAACATTATCTTTCATAAAAAAATGTTAAATTATTTTTAAATTATTCTATAATTTTTATTTCTTTTATTTTATAATCTGAATTAAAATCAAGTTTAATAAAAATTTTGTTACATTCATTATCTTCTGTTATAAACTTCTCTTTATATATATATATATATATATATATATATATATATATATATTCATTTGAGGAAAAATAAAAAAAAAATAATTCTCTTGAGTATGCAATAATGTGTTTTTTACACGAATCCATCTTTTCGCTTTCACGCAACTGGCCGATTAGTTGACGTAACGTGTTTTGCGTTCCGCCAAGCGCGCTTCCGGTGCTTCACATTATTTATCTCGTCATTCACGTTTGCTTTCTCAGAGGAATGTATGCTGTTGGGCATATTATACGATCACGGCGAGAGGGTCTCGCCGACACAATGCATGGAGTGCAACTGCTCCAACGGTGTCTTTATGTGCCAGAGGTTCGACACTGAGATCAAGTGCCCACCACTGCCGTGTCCTCCTAGCGAGCAAATCAGCGTAGCGGAGGAATGCTGCAAATTTTGCCCAGGTAAGGGTTCAAGTAAATTTTTGCTTGAAAAATCGTAATATAAGAATGAATTCTAACGTTCTGCAATTCATAATGCTTTCGAAAAGAAATTATATATATTCGTGTAATATCTCTGCAATTCTCGAAAGACAGTTCATAGTTTTATATTGAGCATTTTTTATAAGCCATTTTTATTACATAAACGATGTACGCGTTATATAAAATATCTTATATATTTTATCAAATGTTGAAATTTAAACGAGAACAACTTCAACGCAGCATGCATTATAATAATGAGCCTGAAAGAATGGCAAGCATGAAAAAGAATAAAGCGATCGGGACAGAGCAAGAAACAAAGCATAGTTCGCATAGCTCGCGCATTAAATTTAATTAACTTTACTTAACCCTCTCATGCATGGAATTTCTTTGCCGATAATTCAAGCTTCCTTTCTTTCTGCTAACCTTGAGTTAATGCGCATCCATATATAAATTTATTGTTCATATTAAGAGAAACATATAGTTATTATAGAAAGCATGAAAAAGAAGACAGTGATAATTACGCTATGTAATAATTATGACAATTATAAATCATGAAATTTTTAAAATATATGTACATGTACGACATGTGTAATATTTATTTTAGTCTGAATGCAAAAGTTAAGAATGAGATAACTCCAGTTCTCGAGAAGTTCGCTACACTCTATCATTAATTAATTACGTTTTCCATTATGCATGAGAGGGTTACTGATGTCAAATTGAACGACAGTCTTCTCACTAAAACCTCCAAGTTGTTAATTACATTTTCTAACCATCTTCCGTATTTGCCTGACTAACCCAATTTAACTAGGGGTGGATTACTGCGTGAAGGGCCACGAGTGTCACGCTAACGCATCCTGCCTGAATCTCCAGACGACCTATGCCTGCCATTGCAATATCGGTTTCCAAGGGGATGGTCATAACTGTCACGGTATCTAACGCTTACTAACTTATTCGTTCTCAATTAATCGTGCGTAAAATATGTCCGTATATGTCGAATTTATCCCCACACGAGAAACATGCGTTAACTTAACGTTTCTAAATGAATTCCTACAGACTTCTTAATGAATTCTTTAAATTGAATAAATTTAAAGAAACACTCTTCGAAGTCATGATAAATGAACAATATGACAAATATTCATGCGTTGAACTGCGCTTAACTTATGCTGTCTTCAATAACACTTTCTCATTATTTAGATGTGGATGAGTGCAAGCAGCAAGGTGGATCAGACGGTCATCATTGTAACGCAAACACGAAATGCGTCAACGTGATCGGCTCTTATACGTGCGAATGTCTTCCGGGTTACCATAGAGTCGACAAATTCAATTGTGCCGAGCTGGATGAGTGCGCGACTGGCCATCACCATTGTGATGAGCATGCCACGTGTGTGAACACTGCCGGCAGCTACTACTGCATCTGCAAGGATGGTTATACCGGCGACGGTTATACGTGTAAACGTACAGTATCGTCTTTTACGTCTCGATAACATAATTGATGTTTTAGTCAGCAATTTCTTAATATTTAGTGCAATGAATTCCGACATTTTTCGTCGAGAAATATATGTTATTATTTAGATAAAAATTTTAGATTGTTAAATAAAGAAGCAAATTGAAGGATATAATTTTTTTATTATTTGAAAATTTATTATTTGAGAATTATATTATTTATTTATGTTTATTAAGAGAGATAAATGGAAATATATTTACGCTTTTATAGATAAATTTATATACTTTCTCGAGCGCATGCGCCGTAATTTGTAGAATGAATAAATATACTTTTCTTTATTAAAGAATTTTATATCTCGTTGGAAATAGAAAACAAATCGCATGTATATCTTCTTTAAGCACGTTTGTATTCTGGATGAGTGTGTGCACAAACGCGATCCTATCGCGATCCTATCGAAACGATATTCCTATCACATGGATGACTGAAGCGATAAAAGAAGATTTACTGAACTGAGGATTTATTTTTCTTCAATGCTCCATTCTGCAAAGATTGCGAGAAGTGAAAAATTAAAAAAAAAATATTTCCATCGTTCTTTAATGAGGCGAATGATCGTTGAGGCTAATGAGGCGAATGACTCTTTCGTTTGAAGAAAACTTTATTTATGCACTGTGTGTGTGATGTAGCTTTTAAATTATACTAATAATAAAACTTGCGTCGAGTTTTATATTAAAAATCAGATTTTAATTTTAATTCAAAAGGTAAGATTTTTTTACGATAGTCGCAATATTTTTATTTCTCAAAAGAAAAGATTCTGAACAGAAGTAAAATTAAGCTCTTGTTTTCATGCAGCTGTGTGCAATCAGACCTGTCAGAATGGCGGCGAGTGCGTGGCACCCGGGAGGTGTTCCTGTCGACGAGGTTACACCGGCAACAGCTGCGAGCTCGATTTAGACGAGTGCGCCAGCAATTTACACCGATGTCACCAGTCGTCCACGTGCGTCAACATGCCCGGCTGGTACTACTGCCGTTGCAAACCCGGCTACAGGAGCGCCCTGCACGAGAGCACCCAGGGCACGCAGTGTCTCGATATCGACGAGTGCAACGATTTGACGACAGAAAGGATTCATACATGTCATCCTACCGCAAAATGCGTCAATACCGAGGGCGGCTACGAGTGCGTGTGCCCGCCGATGAAGGATCCAGAGGAGTCTGCAGAGAAATGCAGACTCAGTAAGTTTCATTTTTCTCGTATAATTGAGAGATATTCCTTTACATGCACGTGTCGATTCTAGAATAAAATTATTTTTAAAGTTATAAAAAAAGAATATGAAATTACTATATTATTATTATTATATTTATAGGCTGCTGGTTCAAAGGTCGCGAAATCAACAATGGCGACACTTGGATGCAGGGCGAAAATTCTTGCAGTAGATGCACGTGTCAAGACGGCGTGGTCACCTGTAAGGACCTTGTATGCGATTGCAGCCTACCGGGAAGCCACAAGAATAAATGTTGTCCTCAGTGCAATCCCGCAGCGTCCTGCAGACATCAAGAATTCCATCACCTAGTCTTCAGGAGCGGAGAACGTTGGATATACCAATGTCAGACTTGCGAATGCCTGGTAATGAATCTCTTGAGCCGTATAATTGCGATAAAATAAAGAAATTAATAAAAAATGACGCTTCTCGAGCAACTAAATTCTTTAAATAATACAATCTTCATGTTATCATAATTCTATCGTGAAAAGAAAAGCAATAAAGTTTTATGTGAAAAATTAGAAATAATTAATTTTAAGTTTTTTTGCAAATGTGAGAAATTTTGTATCTCTCATTCTTCAAATTGCATTATTGTAATTTATTGTAGCACGGCGAAATAGACTGCTGGCAGATGGAATGTCCACCGATAACCTGCTCGAATCCCGTGACCGAGGAGAGCGATTGTTGTCCGCGCTGCGAGGACGATCCCTGTGCACGAGAGATGCTGATGAACGGTACCGGGGTCACGGTTCCTAGTCATCCCCGACCCTGCAGTTACGCTGGCATCGTTCACGACAGCGGTAGCTCCTGGCAGGACCCCCACGACAAATGCACCACGTGCGAGTGCAAGGTAAGGAGGAGGATCGACCGTGTCATCCGTCACGTCGCAGGACCCGCGATCGCCATCGGTCCTTGACCCGGTCCCGTACGAGATCCGATGGACACGGGTAGGATAAGGGGAAAGGGGGGAAGGGGGTAGAAGAATTCGCTGGAAAAGGACACGAAGGAAAAGTAAGGATGGTCGCGCACTAATTTGTTAAATTTTGTTGTATCTTCCTAAATCTTTTTGTAATATTCTATTTATTTTCTGTAATGCTTCCAGAAAATATTTCTAGATTATTTCTATGTAGAATATATTATATGATATGTTTATGACACGTATATTAATTATGCATGTAATAGCATATCTTTCCATGCATATCTTTTCAAAAGTATTATTATTATTTATTATTTCACTAAGAAGATTGATCAATCATAAATAAAGTATTTGATATGATATAGATATCTTCGATTTTTTAATCATTAATAAGGCGATAAAATTTAAATAGCGAAGAAATAAAAACGAGAACCATCCTAACTTTATGTATCCATCATGCCTTCTTTTCTTGCGAGTTCAAAAGCTCAAGGTCAGTAAATAAAATGAAATATTGTCTCAATTTAGCCAGTGAATGTGCCATATGCCTATTCGATTGCGTTCGCTGTATTATACCGATATAAAATGCAACATAATTGCTGTGCGATAGGCGTCCATCGCGGAATATGTACACTTATATATACATGGCGGAGCATCGGCGTAAATCGTGTCAATTTTATCTCAATTCCTTTCGTATATTAGATTGACTTCGTAATGATAATTAGCATTTATCCCATTATCATAAATGTTATCATTTTTGTACAAAATAATTGCGTTGCGTGTCCTAGTATATTTAAATAAAATTACTAATAATAATTGTACATTAATTTCGCGTATTAGATTTTTTTATTAAATAAAATATTTTGTAGAGATATAATCATACAAGATATGATGACAAATTCATTTTTTTTTAATTAATAAAAATAACAAATCATAAATATTTATCAGCACGTTCGCAAAGTCTCCATCTTCTTTTTCTTAAAATATTTGTTTAATTAAACTATCCGCCATATATACATGAAATCGTACACACAAGCATTTGTATCATCTTATTTTCTCTTCACTCCTTTTATTCTCTATCTGTCTTTCTGTTTTATGTATCGTCAGTAGGTAATCCTCCAATAATACAAGGTACATACTGACTGTTCTTTTTTCGTAGTATGCCATTTGTTTCTGCGGTACAATTAACGCGAAACAAATCCGCAAAGCTAAACGCTGACATTTTATTAATCGTATGCTGAGAGAAGAAAAATTGCATATTATAAAAGAAGATATACGTTGAATCTTCGCATGAATCTAACTAACCGAATTGAACTGGAATTACTATTCACAGAAACGTTTTATTTTTATATTTTATGAAAAAAATTAATATATTAATGTGAAATGTCTGATGTAATATTGATGTTATCTGTATTATAATAATTATTTACCAGCATCTTCTCTCGGTTACTGCATTATTGCGTCGCGCTATGCGATCTTAGCTGTACTCATTAATGTAAAATGTAAATGATTCAAAACATATTTTTATACATTGTCATACACATACAGGGGCGTCCCCAAGCTAGATGTCATTTATTTTTTGTTGCCTGCCTTGCACGTGGCAGCGTTCGTCATTAGTTTTCATCCTCCATGTGAGAGAAAATAAACTGTATATTAGATTATATTAAATGACTCTCTTCTTTTTCTCTTTCTCTATGTTCTTTTAAAGCCCTAAAAATTTGTTTTTTTATATCATGATTTATCATTGTTTGAAACCTATTCTTATTTAGTTTCTGTTTATTAAAAATCCACTTAATCTTTTTTTTTAATGCTTTTTCATACGAAAAATGAAAATACTTTATCAATATTCTAATAACAAAATTAAAAAATATGAAAGAGATTATTTAACTAAACTAAATTTAATTAAACAAACAATTGCTATAAATAATTGGATTAACTAAATATCTAAATCGCACATCTAAATATCTAAGTATCTAGATTGCAGAGTTTTCTAATACTACTTACGAAATGTCACTGTGTACTCTTTTCTATGAGAAAACATTACTTTATATTTAAAAACTATAGACGATCGAACACTGCCACGGCCGTGAGAATCCCGGTTCGTACATATGAGTCGAAGAAAACTCTGAATGTCGAGATTGCTCGTTGTTTCGCTTCTTCATTATAAATGCTTCGCTCCCATCATCGATATCCTATTTTTTGTCACCCTAAATATAAACCCATATAGATATATTTCAGATGTTTCTAGTTAATATAATCTTGAACTACAGAATTAATAAGTCAACAGTAAATAATTTATGATAAATAATTTTAGCAATAGTTTAACGATTTAGAATTTATTGTTAGACTGCCTATAATAAATTTAGGATTAGAAAGTTTACTTATACAGACACACACATGTACACTATTCGTAAAAAATATTTTTAAAAATATTTTTATATCTTTTACAAAACATCTTTAAAAAACAAACATTCTTTAGATATCATAATTAGGGTGACGATAAAATATTATACAGGGTGTTCCATACTGATTAATTTATTTTTCAGATCGTAAAAAAATTGGAGCTAATTTCTTATTAATACAAACAGTTTTATAAAAACGTTAGCTTCTAAGAATAAAATATTACATTTTTAATTAAAATCTTGTAAGAATAAATTAAATTAAATTATTTTTAATTTTTAATTTTGCTATCTCTATTTAATGAAATGACTTTAAAAATAAATTGAATTTATTACTTAAAAATGTTTTGTCTTCAATAATAATTGATTCTTTGGTTATCTATCTGCATTGAAATCAACATTTTTTTTTTCATTTGTGGCTGAAAGATAACGTTATAGATCTGGGACACTCCGTATATGCCAAACCGAGATCGAACCGAGATCTCACGATTGCGCGTGCTTCGGGTCGGCCCTGCATGGATCATTTTATTAATGTATATCGCTCGGCGATGATTAATCGAAAGCAGACCTGACCTCACAGTTAACGATGGTGCACCATGATCTTCACCCCGCCGATTCGATCCACAATCGAATCGCTTAATCGCCGATGTTAGTCTTCTACCATCGTTCACCGCACATTCAATCAAGAATGGCGGTACGATCTTATCTGATGATATTGACAATATTGAACAATTAACCGGGAATCACCGGAGTGAAAGCTATTCAGCTAGCGTTTAGACTAATCGGCTCGATCTTCTAAGCGACGATCGTGAATATGAATCGGCGCGGCGCACAAAGAGGTCCTGGTCACGTGGGGGCGACATAAGAGATGAATAATAGAAGAAGGAGAGGGAAAGGGTGGAAATTGCATCGGGGAAATATTGTCTGCCTGTGATCATGCTGTTGTAAATTAACCCCGCCACTTTGCCCGTGACTGACTAATCTCATATAGCCTAACAATGGGTATCCTTGCAGGTGCCGTACTGCGCCCAATTGGTGAGCAATAGCGCGTGTTGTGTGCATCGGTAATCACGTCACTTCTACCTCACCTATAATCTCTACTACCTGCCTCTTCTCTTCTGTCTTTATTGCCGATTAATGTATTACGACTAACGGAGTGCTCCAGTGCTTTCTTAGTCTTCCTCACGCTTGCTTTTTGCCTATTTCTTTTTTTAAGTTTAGATTTTTGTTTTCCCTCTTCCTCTTTTTCTCTAGTCTTTCACTTTTCTCAAATATCTTCGTATTTCGTATCCTCGCTTGATACTGTAGTTCTTTTTCTACTAGTTTATTTCTTCTCTTTGATATCTTATTAGAATCCGTTATCACTACGTCGCACGTTTATTATTCGACAATGAGTATATAAATGTATCACGAGCACGTAGCATGTGCATCTCGTCGCGTTTGAAGAATAGTGTTCTCGATGTGATATTGACGATATTTTTATCTAAGAACAAAAGGATTTTAAATTAACATTCAAAAGATTCTTTAATTTCTATTTATCTACTAAGCAATCGATGATGTTGAAATAATCGTCATTGCTCTTGATTAATTTTGTATAAATTTTATCATTTCAATAATAGATACGATTGTGATTAATATTATGTGATTAATGATAATTATTGAATGATAATTATTTCTATTTGCTAATTTTTTATCTAAAAATTTGCGAATGTTTTTATTAATAAATATGCGAATGTTTTTATTAATAAACGTAGATTACATGCAAATGTTTTTAATAAACATAGTTTGCATACAAAAACTAATTTGCATATTCTTTATTGTCGCATTAAATCAACTCATCGACGAATCAAACGAGAATACGGCGAGCGATTCTTATCTGCGGCTGCACGTTTTTTTGAAATCTGCATGCAAAAAATGCACCTTTACGCAATTCTATCTTACCTATTCTCCCCTCACAAATGCATTACCTCCTATTTATTTTTTTATTTATGCACATTCTGAGACGCATGGTCGTTCATGCAAAAAGATAAAAGAGAAGGCAATCCGTTCGATCAGCGGGTCTTTCTCGTGTCGATCGAGGAGCATGGCGCACGAGGTGGCAGACACACATACACACACATGTGCACACAACACATATAAGCGGACTGCGTCTTGGATTCGCGATTGTATTTATTTTTTTTGTGTGTTTCTCTCTTCTTTTTTTAATCTTTTTTTTTCGAATCGTTGTCGCACCTGAGCCTCCACTGCACCCTCCTTCGATCTGCATTTGAGATTCGGTAGAAGCACCAAGAGGTCTCTTTCTTTCTTTATATCGATTTATTCAGCATCGATTCTCGCAAGATAAAAATTATTATGATAAAAAAATATATATGATAATAAGAATTATATAAGAAAAAATAATCTCAAAAATTATTATGCAAATTAAAATCTGTTATCGAAATATTTAGTTTTATATTGTAAATTAAATATAATTTTATATTAATAACGTAATGCAAATATTATTCATATATACATTATGTAGAAAGATATCTCGCCAGAATCATAGCGGAAAGTAGTAGAAAACTTAGAAATTTGTTGTCAGGTATCGAAGACATATTATGGAAATTCATTGTTTTGCCCCTCCCCCTTCGAATGTCAGCATGAATGTCCTTACAGTTAATACACAGACTGTAATTGTGATCGTAACCACTTACAAGTTGTCTCTTTATCGAGAAAAAAGGGTGCCACCGGGTGTGAGGGACATCGCAAGGAAAGTTTCAAGGGAAGTAAAACGGGGATCGGATTTTTGCATTGGTTTATTATTTCGCCACGGCGGAACTGATACGGTATTGTTCCACGAGAAACAATGAATTACATACTATGTGAACAAGTACCTGCCTCTCCACTACAGGTCGGAAAGTCTTGGCCCGTCGAACAATCGATTGCAAAAATACCTACCTAATATTTTGCTAGCGTCCTTCATTATTTCCGAAATTTAAAAAAAATTTTAAACATGAGAAATAAAGTAACTTATTTAAAATATATATTTAACAATAAATATCTTGTTATTATTAAACGCACATTTAATTAATTTTCTTCAATGTCATTAAAAAATAAAAATTTTTTACGCGAAAATAAATAAATAAAAATAATAAGTTGTATTGAAAAAAAACGCAATATATATTGTATGTGTTAATTGAAATCGACCAAAATTAAAAAATATATTGATATGAATTGCAATAATATTTCATTATCACAAAAGAGAACTTCAAATAACACAAAAATATTCTATTCTTTTAATCAGAACATTCGATCAAACTTATCCTCGATAAGCAATCGTATTCATTTCCTCTTTTCATATATTTCCATTTTTTATCTTTGATACATGTCGAGTTCTCTCATATGGCACGCCAACCAAGACTTTCCAACCCGAAGTCAGCGAACCAAAAGTCACAACAAAAAGTCTTCTAATTCCCTCCGCCGTGGCTAACCCAATCTCCCACGAACCTCTTCGTAGGACGGGCAGCTTTGCTGCAGCTACGATTACGGCTGTGCTGGCGATCTGGGTAACGACAAGCAACAACGGCCTTCAGTTCCTGCTCCTGAGTCTCTCGTACGTCATCCATCAGACTCTGCGGTCCAGTCGTTGGTCGACGGTGCATCGAAAGCAGCTGTACCAACGGTCATTGGCACACCCGGCACTACACGCACCATCACTATCGCCGTCACCACCTCCGTCGCGAGCACCACTTCCCCCGTCTCATCGCCCTCGCACTACTCGTCATCCTCCACCATCAGCAACGAGAAACCTTATGATCTCAAACGAGATCAGACAACAGGTTTGGTCGCATCGCCAGCTCAACGGAAAAACGCCTATTATGCTATTAGGGCGCAACAGCAACAAGCATCGATCACGAGATACCAAGAGTTTGTCAGAGGTTCAACGACATCGTCGATGGGCGTCGTGTCAGGACAGTCCGCGACACCGTCGCCGACGACGGCGAGGATGCCGCTTCCGATATCCAGCGACGACAGATCGACGCCATCGCAACGCAGCCAGTCGACAAACACCGGCGGTCATCGCAACATCGCCACCGTTTCTTCCTCTTCCTCGTCGTTGTCATCATCGCCGACTTTCGCGATGGTCTTGGCTACCTCAACGCTCGAGAAGACAGACCGATCGTCGACGACGAGCATCACGCAAATTCGCCAGCTGGTCGGTCGTCGTAAAGACAACAAAAAGTCCATTGTCCTTGACAGCGCCACTTGAGGACCGTGGATTTAGAGGAAGATAGGAAAGGACGTATCTGACAAGGCATTCTAGATGGGAAATCTTGGAGAATCTCCCATAGTCGTTCAATGCGCGTCGTCCGTCTATTGTATTGTCGACAGAAGAGAAGGAAATAGAAACTCACAAAGAGATAGAACGGGATCATCAATGATCCCTCATCAATGAACACTCGACGCTCGCGGAAAATCGGCGTCACTGCGAGGGAGATTTGTTCCTGTTTTTGGAGCCTGTCTCCGTGTCTGATAATTTTGAGGAGAGACGGTCAACCTCTCGTCAACACAACTAGATCGATGATTGCATCGCTAACCTAATTGGACCTAATTTTGCTAGGTTTCAGGTTCTAATCTTAAGATCGAGATACTGTATCGAGTAGATAAAGTCATGTCAAGATTTTGACAAGATCTGGACCCGGCATAACTGCGAGTCAGATTTGAGGCTCGAATAACGAGCATGTTCAGAACGTTCGCTTTTCCGCTTAATCTCTCGCTCGAGTTGCGGTAACTTTCGCCTTGATCGCCATCATCAGCTGAGCGTCGAGACACGGCGCTAATGGCTTCGAGAGATAATCAGTGCGAATGGTTTCTATATTGAAGATTTTTTCTAGATTTAATATCAAAGATTTGTCTTTGATATATAATTAACTTATAAATTTTCCGCTGAAAGCGATATATTATTAGACGACCTAAATTATCTATTAGAGTCGAGTACTATAAATATTTTTATAAAAAAGTTTCTTCAGTCTGAATTTTAATTTGAAAATGAAATGCAAAAATTTAGATTGATATAATAGATTCGTATATAAAAATTAGATTGATAGATTCGTAATATTAAACTCTTGATGCATTTTTTAGTTATTTTTCTTTATTATTTTCGTAATACATGTGTATACATATATTGATCATTTTTTCCCGTAGAACTCAAGATATTGATTTTTCGAATTTGTTTACTATCTATCTTTTTAAAAAGTTTGTTGACTGTACTTCTCAGAGTACGTTACATGTGACACAAAAGAATTTTTTGTTACTTTTTGTCATTTTGAATAAATTAGAATTAATAAGATCAGGTATTTACATAAGAATATCTAAAAGAGTAGGTCAAAGAAGTGAAAATATATTTCATGAGTTTCATGTAATGTGTCACACACTATACATATATAAAACAAATATCTAATTTACAAGACCTTGTTTACATAACTATTATTTTACAAATAAGAAATAAGAATTGTTATTTAAAGAAAATTATTATTATTGCATTAACACTACTTAACATAAGATAAGTGTGTAATAAATAACATAATAATTCGATAAGAATTTTGTAATTCGTATTTTTAGTTAGATCACACCAAAAAATGTACCATTATTACATACATATAAACAATATGTTATATTTTCACATAATCATCAAAATTGTAACAAGATGCATATATTCGATAAATCATAGAAAAGCATAAGAAATCGATAAATCATTATAATTATTAATAATAGCTCCATAAAATCTTTTAAACTTTTGAAACAGAAATGCCGTTATTTGATGAATTAATGAACTAAATTACACTCTTAGCATCTATTTGATGATTTTAATTTTTAGCACTGATTATCGATCAAAGCGATCATGCGCCCTCCGTGGATCGAGCATGATTGAACGAACCGAGGGCGCAAATTCACTTTCACAAAAAAAAGTAAAAAAATGAAAAAAAAGAAACTTCTTTCGCGTATTTGATTGAACAAGTAGCGCACAATATTTGGGCCTTATAAAGTAAATTGTTGATGTTCCGCTAAATCACGTAAACACTTGTATGTATGTACGTAAGTGACGGAGAAGCAGGGACAATATACATGTTTGTCGTAAGGAATTGATTCCCGATAAGGGGAAGAAAGCACAGAGAGTGACGTATATATACATATAAAGAAGTAAAACGTATGTATTATATTCTATCGTATATTATAATATATATGAGCGATTCCTGCGAATTCGTTGATATCTCTAATCGAATATACCGTCGACTGTCAAATCATCAATTGAGCGATGACAACGCGAGTGACTCTATCTACGCTAGAAATATATTGGAAGATTATATCTCGCGACAATATAAATGATATGAGGCCCCGGAGCATATACAATCATCGTAGCGTGCGTATCTGACGATAAAAATAGTTACGCTTGAGAGAGTATATTTAAGGATTAAATAGGATAGGCGCGACTCTTAAATCTTCGAGAGAATTCAATCTATCTTCTAAGTATTCGGCTCGATTTGATTCCCGCGTTATCCTTCAGTGATCCTGCAGGAAACGGACCTATGCTCGATTCACGGCGCTCGAATGAGGTGTCGAATTGCGACACCGAGGGATACAGTGGCTTTGTAACTCACAGTGTGACGATAAAAAAAGCCGTATCTAATTTATATCATTCATAATTCATAATTTATAATTTTTATAATTGATTAAGATCATTACGTGGTAATCGTTCACTGTTAAGATACTAAACAAAGTATGAGGGTAGTAAGAAGACCGGTTCTTATTTTTACGATTGCCCAACAGAGTTGTTTCTGTTGAATGCAATGTCAATAGGAAAAGAGCGTATTTTATAGATATATTGCATACTGTAGTTAAAAGGCTACCGAGGAAGATTCGGCCCTTTGTAGGCTCTTCCTGTCCTCATTAAATAAAAATCAAGTGTATGTTTGATGCGTCTGACGGAAAGTTAAGCTAGACTTTTCCCACATGCGTTTTGTGGCCTGAAGTTCGCGGAACCGACGAATTAAAAAAAATTTTGTCTGCGCTAATTAATTTTTTCGACGCTAAGTTTCACGAAGACTGTTGTTCTTCAGCATTTTCGCCCATTCGTAAAGTGTGCATTTGTGTAGTGATTGATTCTTGTAAAATTAAATATAAGACAGATAATTTTCGTAGCAAAGCGCGCGACTGTAGATTGAATTCACAAGATTACGCGTACATATACATATTTAAATATTCCTCTGGACATTTCTTTCATTTTATTGTTATTTATTTAATATATAACAGGTAAACGATAATTTTAGAAGTATCGATTCTTTAAAAAAGTATCATTTGTTCTCTTCTTTCTTTCAGCGATTCATCATTAATATATTATTCACTGCCGCATTTTACGCATTCACACATCTCAGAACAATCAAAATTCGTCAAGATCTTAAACACGAACATCCACGATTCGTATCAACGCGTAAACGCGAATTGGTCGCTGATGTCGCTGTCAATAGGCGGATATTAAATATTTGATATCATCACGATTCGAGCGTAGTATCGAAATAATTAACCAGAAGTTACGCATTTACAACTCGCCTACGAGCAATAGCCTAAGCGATGTTAATTATAATCGAAATAATCGAGGAAGCGAAGACAAACGCGAAGACATTTAACTCACTTATAATCTTAGCGGTAAGCGCGATGAAGAAAGGCCTAGCTAATCGTAATCACATTGAACTTTGAGAGTGAAACGCACGGGGAAACTGTATTTTTTCGTCGTGAAAATTTATAAAGTTTCCTATTATATAATTATCAGTTGGATATTGGACGATGAATGCGTCGGCTGGCTCGAATGATTTCTTTATCTCGCTCAACTCATCACGACCACTACGACTACATTCCTCCTTAACTAACAATAAATAACTAACAATAAATAGGCACTAACGTGAGAGAAGCGTATATATAAAATAAATGTATAATATTAATATATACTATGTTATATATATTATATAATTTTAATATATATATATGTATATTAATATTATATATAAATATATAAAAATAAATAAATGAATATTGCATATATGCGAGGTGTCACGCTAATATCGCGCTAGTGTGCGTCATTTCTTTTGTTCGCAACTTCTTTGATCAAACAATTTAAAACAATTTTTTATATTTCTTATATATTATTAAATATTATGATAATTAATTTTTAATTAAAATTCTATTGAAATAAATCCATTTAATATTAAATATGAAACCAAAATATTTATTAGAACTTTTATAATTTGAAGACTATTGATCAATCTACAACAAGAAAAATGAATTTATCAATTTGCAGAAAGAAGCTATAGAAATGCGAAACATCTTGCATATATATATATATATATATATATATATATATATATATTCTATAATTATATAAGTACGTACATGAATTACATACACACACACACACACACACACACACACACACACACACACACACACACACGCATGCATGCACGTACGGAGGATATGAGACATGATGGAGAAAAGGGCGATAAATGGAAGGATGTTAACTCATAATTAAATGGAACATAATGAATTTCTAAACCGTTATATTAGCATTCATGAAAAAGAGAGAAAAATTTTTCGCGCAGAACTTAACGTTAATTGTTCGTTCAATGTACAATAATTTAATAGTAACATCGCTTAACTTGTAATCGACTAATTGGATCAAAGCGATGTTACAGTGTCTCATCGTGGATAGACAAACAATTATATAAGGAAAAAGAAAGAGGAAAAAAAAATTTGAGAATAGAAATGCGTCGCCGTTATTTCTCCGGCTCAAATTTGTAATTCTGTAACTTACAATACAATAATAAAGTATTAATCGTATATATATTTAGAAAACTTTCAAGAAATGTTCAAAAAATATAAAAAAATATTAAATTAAACATTTCTAACAGTTATATTGTGTATTTATGACAATATAAAATTGACAATAGATATATATTGACAGTATATGTTTGAAATCTTTGAAAAATACTGCCAATTTAGCAATTGGAATACTTACATATCATCATCTTATCTAACTAAGGCACAGAATACAGTATGTTGTATAATGGAAGATATAAGTGATTAGTTTTAATATAAGTTATTTATCGATTTTTTTGCTTTGCAAGAGTCTTTTGGATGGAAACACATTGAAGTGCACTAAAAAAGTCCTATATCCTCTACGTAATTTTTGCGATGTGATATTCACTCGACTAATTGATTATATTGTTAAATTATCAGAACGAATACTTAGAAATTGCAATATACCAATTTTAGAGTCACATTTAAAGTCAGTTGGCTTAATTAACGTTTCAATTAATGTATTGAATCTTTACTATCATCTAATTTAATAATATTCTTGCTATTTTAGGTGCTCATTTTATTTTTTTTGCAATTCAGACTATAGCTGTATTTCATTTTTTATTTACTAAACTATTAATTAATTATAAAATATAATTAATTATTTATAACTATTTATAAAATAATTGAAAATAACTGAAAATTATTAAATAGTAATTTGAAAAAATGACGAATATTATTTATATAAATATTATTTATACCATATTTAAAAATTATATATTTTGCATTTATAAATATTTTGTCAATTACAAAGGAAATTTCTCAATTTATAAAGAAAAAAGTGCAAGATGTTTCCTATAAAAGAGAAGAAAGATAGAAAAGAAAGAAAAAATAAATATGCAAAGATGACATGATTGTTGAATAAAACAGGAAAAAATTTGAGCCGAAAAAAAATTGAGCGACGTCAAACGACATATAAAAACAAATATATACAAATACATGTACATTATTGCAAACTAAAAATGGTCCATTATATATCTCAAATTAAATTTTTTCAGAATTGTAACAGTCAATGAAAGACTGATGGTTTTATCGGAGAAGTAAAATAATTTTACTT